AGCATTCTATTAGTTGCAGGTATTTATTTTTAGCAATTTGTCACCCTGTGTGATGTCGAGTCGGGGAAATAGCTTTCAGGGAATCGTGCCGTAATCCAAATTATTAGTATAATCAATTTAAAAACCACCTGGCTTTAAACAACCTTCAAAATTGTGAAAATAGGGGAATAATAGTTCACCGACTCTATGAAAGCCTTGCTGACCCGTTACTTAGAGTTGTGGTTTTATGACCATTTTAACTTGCGTTGTTCGCATGCATAAAAATTTAAAAAATTTGAATTTTTTCAAAATTTCATAAAATTAAGTGATTTACAGTAATCTTCTGGCACCAATAGTTTAATGACAATGAATTATAGAAATATTATGAGCGCTGCAAAGTGAAAACCTGTAATTTTGGTTTTCGTCAGCTCCGCTTTTTAATCCGACTGATAAATTTAAATTAAGCACAATGTAAATTATATTGTGTTTTTCAGGGTTTGATCTGTAAAATTAATTTCGGAAAACTCACAATTACTAGTGATGCAAACGACTAGCTCCGGCTCGGCTACGGCTCAATCATAATGGAACTGAGCTGCTTTTTAGCCGAGCCGCTTTTTGCCGAGCTGGCAAGAGCGGCGGCTCCAATTTATTATTATTATCATTATAAAAAAAAATTATTTGCCGGAAATTTATTTAGCGAAATATATGTATGCACATACAAATATCTTTATCATAATTTATATTTTGCAAGCATGTAGAACATAGTACAAGAACGCATGATTAAATTTTTTTAAAAAAAATATTTTTGAAAGAACATTTTTTAAAGAAAAAAAAGAGTATGATTATTGTAAGAATACGATTATTAATTTTTTATTGATTACAGTAATTACGACATCAGCTTTAAACGGCTCCTTGTAACACAAGCTAGCTGAGCCGTTTTGAATCACTAACAATTACAGGTTTTTGCTTTGCAGCACTCATGATCGTGATCATTTATAACTACATTGTACGTAATTTGCTCTATTCTGGGTTTTTGAATTTTTGAATTATTTTTGCGTGTTATGCAAACTTACAAGTCTTTGCATTCTTAACTGGAATATTGAAATGTTAATAATATTAAATTCAATGTTATTATTACACTTCTCTATATATCTCTTTCTATTTAACTCTATATACAACTTGCCTTTATACTTTATGTTTTTTCTAATTTAGATTTTATTGTTTATCCTTGCCTACAACCTACTATTATCTTACCACACTTTAACTTTGTACCTCATTGGCTTCTCTATAATAACCTACATTACTTAATTTATACAGTTTTTTTTTTTTTTACTATTATCTAATCTTTTTCTATTCGCAACTCTCGCTTTAACATGATACTTTTTACTTGTTCCTATTGAAAAGTGATTTTCATTCGCGTAACAATACATCATATTAAAAAATTGCCTAATTGTTTTTATATATATAAGTTTGATTTAATTAGTTGACCGACACCAAACGTCCTATTATTGTGTCTGACCTTTTTGCACACACTACATCTTCTATCGCTTATTCTAGTTCCAAAGCAGATGGAATTCTTCTTATTTTTCTTAATATCTGTTAACACATTCATCATTTTTAATATTTTTTTGTTTATCATGAAGAGAATGCAACTGCATAACCATAACCATAACCAAGAGAGTTGACTATATACAACGCTACAATTTTATGATTGTGTTAAATAATGCTCTTCTGTTTTAATCTTCTGTATTCTTTGCCAATCGAAATTATCAATTTATCTATCAACCCGTTAAAAAATTCGAAACAACTAAAGTAAATTATTCGAAAATAAATATATAACTTAAAGTAGGGACATTGTAAAAGTGGCGGGAAGCTAGGGATGTTAATCGTCCTTTTAGATCGAATTTTAACCGATCCTTAAATCACATGAGGGCTATATAGAAATTAGTCCTCATAAAACCAATATCTAATTTTCATCGAACGTCATTGTTTTAGTAATAAGGTATTCATTTGATTGGATGTTATCTTTATTGTTTCTAAAATAAGTGTCAATTTGATTGGGGACGTATTTAAGGGTTATTGTTAGGACCCAAAACTAACGGTTTATCGTACGTAATAAGTCTGGAACTGTCCTATTATTTGTTCGTTATTGTATGGGATTAATGTCCAAAAATATACAATTCAACGTACGTAGGAAAATTCTGAAAATGCAATTCTAATTAGAACAGTAATTGCATTATCCTACATTATTGAAATTTTCCGCTTAAATATGCACTAGTCAAATAATAACGATAACTGCTAGATGATAACTATTAATTATCTGGCAGCGAATTTAATATGGGTCGTTTCTGGGCCCCGAAGGGGCCCAAAGCTGACATATCAAATTTCATAACCAGATAATGAATTATTTTACAAATAAGACTGCTTCACTATTTAGTATGGACGAACCAAATGTCTTACAGATAAAATTTTGTCGGTATTATGGCCCAAAATGTATAACAATATGAAAATAATAATTTTTCCTCTAATTTAAAAAGGAAAATGTGGCGGTTCACGAGCATACTTTTGAGTAGAGATGCAGGCGAATCGTCCCAATGATTGCCGTAACTAGTTACAACATTAGCTTTAGCTAGTTAAGGCTTAAGCTGTAACATCATTGAGGCGATTCGCCTGCACCTATACTTTTAAGCTAATCAAGCGCATGAATAAACATCCAACTAGTACTTATCAGTTGATCATGTTTCAAACAATGAAAACTAAAATTATAGATACGAATTTGCTATAATTAAATGATTATTTAAAGATAACATGCTTCATTTAACAAATATAAATATAATAAACTTGTCTTAATGTATTTTTTTTTCAAGAAAATTATATTGTTCTTACATTAGGTGGGAAGCCAAAAGTTCTTATCAGTAGGACTTACAATTTTACTTGAATATGACCAACATTGTATACGATCGTGAAGCTTTGCTCAGAACAGTATCTACTTTTCCTTTAATTGACAATCATTGTCATAATCTTTTAACGTCAGATGCATCATTGATTTGTCCATTGGAAGTATGCTTTTCAAAGGCTCGTGGTGATGCGTTAAAAGATGCGTCTCAAACTAGTGCCTTGAAACGAGGCGTACGCCAGCTTGCTGAAGTTTATAATTGTACACCAACTTTAGATAATATTAAGCAAGTGAGAGATCTAATGTCACATACTGATATATGCAAAACTTGCTTTGAACCTACTGGTATCCAGTGCTTGCTTTTGGATGATGGACTTGATGCATTAGGTGGTCTTATGGACGTGCAAAATCATGTAGGATTTGTTGACGTAGCGCGAAGAATCGTGAGAATTGAAAGTATTGCAGAGAAGATCTTGTATGACTTGGCAACATCTGTAGCTTGTACAGATCAAAAAACGCTGAATTTTGCTGCATTTGAAGAACCATTGAAAAAACAACTTGAAACCTATGCAAAATCTGAATCAGTGGTGGCCTTCAAAAGTATTGCTGCTTATAGGTCAGGATTGAATATCGATTATGTACCAAATGCTGAAGCTGCTGCAATTGCTTTGGGAAATTTTATTACATCTTTTGAATCATTACCTGATAAGAAGGGATCTGTTAGACTTGTTAATAAAGTTCTAATTGATCATATATTGAACTTGGCAATTGATATCGCAGTCCAACACGATATTCCTATCCAATTTAATACAGGCATGCTATATAAATATTGTTTTTTTACTTTTAAACTGAATCTTATCATTTATTAAAAACATATATCTCTCTCAATAACACAGGATTTGGTGACTCTGATCTTAATCTGATTGCATCCGACCCACTTTTGTTACAGTAAGAATATTTTTATGTCGTATACTTATTCGAACGTTTCAAACCAACAACTGTATCCTTACGATTACTATTTTACCCTTCTCATTAAGACCTTTGATTGAAAAATATCCCAATGCAAAATTCGTTCTTCTGCACTCAGCATATCCTTATTCCCGCCAAGCAGGATATCTTGCTTCAGTATATTCCAATGTGTATGTTGACACAGGTCTTGTTTTTCCTATGATTTCCGCATCCGGTCAGCAGGCTATTTTACGTGAACTGGTAATTTATGCTTATTTCATATCTGACATTGAAATATTTTATAAATTTATCTTAAAACAAATGCTTTTGTTTTTTGGATAGTTGGAGATTTGTCCAAGTAATAAAATATTATTTAGTACAGGTACTATTAAAGGCGTCTTTTAATAAATCAACTCTCTTTATAATGAACTGCTTTTATTATAGTAAATATATTTATATGTTATAGAGTAATTTACTATAAAAAAAAGATCCTTAAGTCTATAATTGAATATATATACTTATTATAATTTTATAAAAAAAAATAATACGATAAAATTAGATGGGCATTACCTTCCAGAATCTTTCTATGTAGCTGCAATCCAGGGAAGAGAGGCTTTAAGCAAGGTAATATAAATTGTTGTATTTACAACTGATAATATTATTACTTAATACTAACACTAACTTCCTTTTGAACAATGGTTATTTCTAAGGTTTTATTAGAGTCTGTAGAAAATGGTGAATTTTCATATGAAGAAGCAATAAAAATCGTCAAACAAATTATGTTCGAGAATTCCAATACACTATATAAACTCAAATTAACTCCGAAACAGATCGATAAAGAAGGTATTCTGAGAGAAAATAACTTTTATTACTTTCTTTTGCAGTTTAATTAACATTATAATTTTTATCATTATTTAAAGAATATAAAGACACTTCAGGAGAGCAAAGAATCATTAAATTAAAAAAAATGGGTGTAAAGTCTATTCGTATCGGCTTTATGGAATGTTCTAATCAATATAGATTTCACATCGTTCCCATTGATCGTTTCAAAAACTATGTCATTGATAGTGGATTGACAATTGCGCGAGTTCTCACAGCTTTGCCTTATTATGGAGATGTGGTTCCAGACAATGCTGGTGTCGACGCAACTGGGGAAGTGTTATTGAGGCCTGACCTTAGTACACTCATACATTTACCTTATAATCCTAAGCATGCAAATGTCCAAGCATTTTTTGAAAACAAATTTACACCGATAGACCCTCAATTTGGAAAGATTGATAATTCACCTGATTCTTTGGCTTTCCCGCTTTGTCCTAGAACTTGTCTTAAAAATATTACTGATTCTGCCCGTAAAGATCTTGGTATCACTTTTTTGATTGGAACCGAATTTGAATTCGTCTTACTTAAAGACACTACACCTCCTGTGCCCGTTGATGATACCCCTTATTCTTCAGCTAATGCTTTTCGCGTTTCTAATTCTGCTGAAATTTTGGATAGGATGGTTGAGTCTTTGCAAGAGCAAGGGATTGAAGTCGAACGATTTCATTCTGAAGGAGGAGGAGGTCAATTTGAAATAGACACTGCACCGGAAACTCCATTAATTGCTGCAGATAAAGTTGTCGTAACACGTCAAACGATATATGATGTTGCTGCTCAGGCTGGTGTAAAAGCAACATTTGTGCCTAAACTCTTTAAAAAACAAGGTTTATTTTTACTTGGTTTTTATTATTAATCTATAAGTTTATATACTTTTGAAATTCTTTTACGTTAGTATTTGCAAACTTTTTTTATAAACATTAATAAAGTGGGAACTGGCGCACATGTGCATATATCTTTTAAAGAAATCGACAAGTCCCAGAAAATTGTTGACGATCACCCTTCAGGACTATCTCCATATGAAAGGTCATTCATTGCTGGGGTGCTTCATCATATCAAGGCAATTTGTGCTTTTGCTTTGCCGACAGACCTTTCCTATACTCGTACTGTTGATAATTATTGGGCCGGATCTTGGATATGCTGGAGTGTTGAGAATCGGTTAGTATTTGTTTAGCTGAATAGCGCTTAATATTGTATAATTATCCTATTTCCTTCAAAATTAATATTGTTTCATTACAGTGAAACACCAATCAGAGTGTGTTATAGACCAAAGAATGGACCTAATGGAAGATATCTTGATGTTCATTTCGAACACAAGTTTGTAGATGCTACTTCCAACCCGTACCTGGTCATCTCCGCCCTTATTGCTTCAGGAGTTGATGGAATCAAAAAAGAAATGCAGCTTACCACTAATCCCATGCTCGGTAAGTTCATTATATTATATAATTAAAGTATTTACATATAGTCATATAACTAATATGAAGTTTTTCTGTAAAATTCAATAATAGATAATCCTGCTTCTCTAAGCAATGAAGAACGTATGAAAAAAGGTGTTACTGGGAAAATGCCTGCAAGTCTTCCGGATACATTGAAAGCATTGAAAGAGGACAAAGCACTTATCAATGCTTTAGGTGAGCCCATTATACGATGCTATACCGCAGTAAAGGAGGTAACGTATATAATAAATACTCTTACTAGTATTACGGGTGAACCTCTTATCAAAATTTGAAATAAAAATTCGAAACTAGCTTCACCTAAAATATTAACTCTGAAAAAATTATTGATTTTTTCTTAAATCCTTCCTTTGATGAATTATTAGGAAGAACATAAATATTATGAAACTTTGACCTATGACGAACAGATCGAAATATTGCTCAAGCGGTATTAATTTTAGTTCAAATACTCATTTTGCATAAAATTAAATGCTTTAAAAAAAGCCTTTAATAGTGTTAATATGTGTCACTAAAAAAATAAGATATTGCGCTAAAACCAGGAAAGGAAAAATTCTGACATACCCACTATCCATATGCATGTATAGTTATCATCGTAAATAATGAGATTTTATTGTAAATAAAGGTCGCGGACTTTAATAGTATCGACAATTTCATCACAAATAATACAACTTAGATAAGTTTACAGTAAATCGCTCTTAAAGAATTATACATTTGACTCGTACAGAGACTGTAGACCCATATACACTGCAACTATTAATTCAAGAATACATTCCCTGATCCATTGCTAAGTAGACCCTAGCGTTGCTTATAAAAAATAATAGCCGGATAGATCTGCCGGTTACCTGTAATTTTGGACCTTATAAAGCACTATTTTCGCTTAGTATTTTTTTACTTTTTTTTTTTTTGCTGCATTGAACCGACATGTCAAAGTTAGGAAGTGTGCTGTTTTATTCGAAGCTATGAAAACTTCTTGAGCGAAAAATTTTTTATCAAATAACTTATGTTTACAACGTTTTAAGACTAAGTGCTTTTAGAGAAACTTACTATATATTCTAAGTAATGATTATTTTTAATATTATGAAAACTTTATTAGAAGACTGAAGACACAGAGCCTTTTTCTGTGCGACAAATAATAATAATAATGATAATAGAATTATGAGAAACTGTTTGCAACTGTGCGCACTACTTACAAAATGGCAATTTTTCCCGAACAGAAACCGCACAGTCATCAAGTTTGCCAAATCTAACACGTCTTAATCAATAAACCTTGGAATTGGTTACGTGAACTTTTGGATTTTGGAGCCGTCTAAGAGTTAGAATTCCATAATTACTTAAATATAAAGTCTTAAATACTACAAAAACTGTAAACCAAAATCTTGTAATTAATGCTGCGATGCTATCCAGTAATACCAAATTCCTATAACGCTATTAGCACTCAAAAACTATAAATTTCTTGTTTACCTTTCGTGACCGTATAGGCACAATAATACTTGATAGTAATCAACTTTTCGTAATAACTTAGGTTTTTTGCATAATTATAGAAATTTAGTAGATATCAGAAAGCAATTCAAACCTTAATTAATTTTTTCAAACAGCCAATCAAATCTCTAAAATTAAATAAATCAGATCACTTTTAACAAACGTACGTAGGGCTTTAATAGTATAAAGTAATATCAAATATAAACTTTTCTTAACCTTTCATTATTATCTCAATCTATCAATGCACCCTTTCTCAATCTTTCATTGACCTTCCTGATCTTTCATTGCTATTCGGCAATATGGTATTATGGCGTAATAAAACTCACCATTTTTGCTTACGAAAAACCGTTCCTGGATATTTTTGTATTTATATGTTTACTCGAGGTTTATAATGCAAGCAGCCTTTCATGTGGCATTCATTCATACATGAACTATTTATTTATCGAAAATAAACCAAGTTTTCCGAGAGAAAATCTAAAATAAAGCCGAAGAAGGCGGGTGGGTATTATAGCGGTGAGGGTATCGTGGAGAATCATCTTTTCTCGTGATCCATCAGTCCAAATCGAATGGTCTTTTATCATTCGATTCGTCTCGATGAGGTAAATTGAATGATGCAAAAAAACGTTCAATTCGATCACTGATTTTGACTTTCGAATGTTACAGATTAATAAAAAAAATAAAATAAAAAATTAATATCGATAGATAAAGTTCAAACGCCAATAAGTTGTGACTTTGTGATTATGATTGAACGATTTTAGTACCATTTGATTCGTCTTTGATGAATACATTAAGTGTGACTCGATAAATCACGAGTCACACAAGATTTTCACTATAATTCCCACACTTGCCTTATAAGTCATACTCTTATTATCTTTCGACAACGGTCGAAAAGATGCTAAGCAGGGTAATGCACCCTGTAAAGGAAACGGGCAAATTCGGATGGAATGACCTTCCGCATAAAGTAATCATTAACTTAATAAGGGCTGCCGTGAGAATAAAATCAAGCCCATGAGAGACAAGATCTATGCAATCAATCACCAACTTAGATGCAGCAGACCTAAGTTCGCAACCAAACCCTCCTCCCTCCCAATAAACCTGCCATTTCATAAGTATGTCTGCTGATTATCAAGATCACATCGGCTGGCTTGCATTATGCTATTTCCGGGTGCATAATGCAAAAATCACAACTAACGATTAATAGCATTCATCAAAATGAGATGCCGTGAACGAAGTCACGAGATTGTGACCCAGACCCATGAAGCAGTTGGTAAGTATGGTGTATTAGTGACGAATATTGCATGATTTGTTGATGGAGTAAATATGAAGTCATAGCGAATGGCTATTTAAGAAGGAAAGTATGGAAATTGTTCTCCCTCTTTTGTCTTTGCTGCTAACTCGACGCAAGTCTAGCTTTGTCGTTGTCACCCACCCACCTACCACCAGGCGAAGGAAATGTTATGTATTAGAGCATTTGGTAGTTATGGGTATGATCGATAGCCGGGTGGCAACTCGGATGTCGAAGATAAGTACTTTGATAACCCGGGTGGACAACCCGGATGTCAAGGATAAGTAAGTACTTTGGTATCAAAGGAAAAGGGGATAGATTGACGGTAGCGATGTACGCGCAGTAGGCGCAGCGCACATAAACATATATTTGCGTATATTTTGTTGAAAATGATTGGCGCTCTGCGCGTATTATAATTTTACTTTACTGTAAATATATAAAAATTTTTTTGCGTATATATTTAACATGATTTTAAAGTTTGCGCGCGCTTGCGCCAATAAAAATTTTTTGAATTTATAAAACTGATTGACGGTATTAGGAACCAGCTGTAGACCACATGAGCAGCTGTTTTCTGTAGGAAAAGTTATGAGATTGGTCGAACGGGTAAATAACCCGGATATCGAAGATAAGTGCTTTGATGCCTGATCAAACAGTCCGGATGTAAAGAAAAAGGATAAAAATAGATTGTTTAGATAGACATGATGCTAGGAACTGACTTTAGACACGTGAGCAGCGAGACGGGACTTCCCATATGTGTATTTCATAGTCATATTTGTTGTGTGTGGGGTCGAGTGACAAATAATAAAAATTAATGATGACTTATTCTGAAAATAAACGGATGTCAAAAAAAATCCTATTTTCAGAAAATTAAATACGTAAGTGCACGGAGATGAAATTAGCTCTTTTTGTTTTAGTAAAAAAACAAATAAATAGAATTTATGGATCATTTATCTTGATAAATTCATCACTTATTTTATCTAAAATCAGATATCTAATCATTAACGTTAATCCTGAAACCCTCCCAATAAATTTAAAGAAAATAATCAAACAATCACAACAAAACAACTTTTATTAATAAGTTGCATTTTGGAAATGAGTCAAAATCTGAAAAAATCCAAGATCTAAAAAAGGATGATAAAATTCGTGAATATTGGATTAAGAATGTTTGCAATCACGCAAAACCTGAGACTAAAGAAATTTATGATTTCATTATCGTGGGGGCTGGTACTGCTGGATGTGTACTTGCTAGAGAATTGATTCATGGTATTCCAAATATTAACGTCCTAGTATTGGAAGCCGGAGGTCCTGATACTTATTCTAATGGCTTAATTAATTTGCCTTGTGCCTCTTTTAAGGTTACTGTTAATGTTTTAAAATAGTGTAATAGTCATTATTTTTTGTATTAATTTATTTATGTCATTTCTTTAACATAGGTTTTCCAATTAAGTGAATGTGAACAAAGAATACGGAGTTTTGTAGACCCTACTAAAGAAATATTAAGAAATGGATCCCCTTATGTGCGCGGAAAGGTTTGGGGAGGAAGTAGTTCGTTGAATACAATGGTTTACATGCAAGTTTACAAAGTTATAATTTTGTATTATTTATTATTATTATTATTGTTGTTAAATTTAAAGTTCTATCTTTAATTTAATTTTAGACGTGGTCAGTCAAAGGGGTATAATGATTGGGCAGCCCAAGGTCCTGAATACAAAATTTGGGATTGGGAACATTGTTTAGAAGGTATGATTTTATTATTTCAACTTAATTTGAATCACTCAATTTTACTCAGATATATATATATATTTCTCAAAAGCATTTAAAGCGGTAGAAAATAATTCACGAAAGAATCCTGATGAAAATTTTAAAAAATTCCATGGGTTCGATGGTTTACTTCATGTGCAAGATAGCCAAAATGGAATTTATGAAACTATGTCAGGCTTAATTGATGCTACAAAAAACCTTGGTATTCCTTATAACGATGATTTTAATGGTGAGAGACAGAACGGTGTTGGAATTTTTCAGGTGCCTTAATAAAATTTTCTAGCTTGTATGTCAATTTAGCTTTACACTTTTTTTTAATCTGCTGATTATAAACTATAGTTTACAATCAAGGATGGAAGAAGATGTTCTTTGGCTGATGGTTATCTAAGGGATGCGTTAAAAAAAGTCGAATTATATCCAGGTTCAAAAGATGATGGCTTCGGAAAAGTTGCAGCAGTAGATGTTAGGTCATTTGCTCACGTTCTAGATATTATTTTTGATGAAGAAAATAAAGAAGAAAATGTTGCAATCGGTGTAAGATATTTTTGTAATGGTTTTGTGCGGGAGGCTTTCATTGCACCAAAAGGAGAGGTCATTCTTTGTGGTGGTGCTTTTAATAGCCCTCAGGTGAGAATAGTAACTGTCAATCAGCCATTACAATGTTATGTAATCGTAAAGCTTTTTTTTTTTTCAAGATCTTAATGCTTTCTGGTATTGGGCCAAAAGAAAATCTTGAATCAAGTAATATAAAAGTTCGTAAAGAACTACTAGTTGGAAGAAATTTATTAGATCATCCGAGTTGCTATATCGTTGCTAAATCGACTCCAAATGCAATCAATCATTGGAGTAACAGTGCTGAAATTGGAATATTCCACAAAGCTAACGTCGAAGGAAAGATTCCTTGCAAAG